TTAACCGGGGGTCGGCGCACTCGGCCGCCGGGATGGGTCGGCCGGGCCAATGGGACGGAGGCCGGGCCGCCCGCCATTGGTCGGGCGCCGTCTTCTCCGACCTCCGCCAATGGTCGAGCGCCGACGGGGCGTGGCCGGCGCGGTCGACGGTGGCGGCCGGATTCCCGCGCCGTTGGTAAGCGGTCGTCGTTCCTACCGAAAATTATCCGCGGCGGCCGTCCGGGTCCCGCCCTCCTCCCCTCCCCGGGGTGGCCCGGGTGAACCCGGACCCGGCGCCGTTCTAATCGCCCGCATCGGCCACCGCCGACGGGTAATGCCCGGCCTAAACCGCGCTTTCTCTCCCCCCGTCGTCGGAGGTTTATCCTCCGTCCCCGACCACTCCTCGTCCCGGTTTCCGACGTTTTAACCGCCGGACCACCCTTCCTCCGCCCTCTGTCCGCGCCCGATCTCCCCATAAAACCGCGTTTATCTCTCTGCTCCCCGACACATTTGTCCTTGGCCGGACCGTGGCCACGGACTTTGCTCTTTGTCCCGTTCCTATTCTTTCTTCGCTCGGATGGAAAGTAATCCGGGCGTTATGGGGCAAAACGTAGTTAAATTTCACCTCTTCGGCCACTCTCGAAACCTGGGTTTTCTTCGCCCAGTCGGTGAATTTTACGCCTTAAATATCCCGGAGGAAAGTGCTTATTATAACGCTTTACTCCGGCTCGGCCTATTTAACCTTCTTTCCTATACCTAAAAAGACGCCTCGGTGCGCTCGGATGTCTTCTTAATCACCTTCGGCTTTTATATCTCCTCCCCCACTTCCACTTTCCAAAGTTTCCATTAGTTATCACATAGGTCTTCTAGGCGTAAATGACGTTTATTCCGAAGAAATTGATATAAATTTGCTTCGTTTTACAAAAATTGTGCAAAAGCGGGTCGTCCGTTATAAAAATTTGCTGGAATTTTCTAAAAAACAAACGAAACAAAACGGCGCAATACCGTAATACGAGGCCGGGTGGAATCGGACCCAACGGAGTGTTCCTTATTCGAATCGTGTGTATGCTTAAATTCGTTTTTATTCCCCGTTTCCTCCGTCTTTCGACGAGTAAATAATTGTCTGGGAAATCGTATCTACTTCGTCCGCACCCTCGTCTCCCCCATACGCGTATTTACGAAAAGTCGACGGCAGATTTTGCATCCGTTTTGAAACGGACGAATTAATTAACGACGAAATTCCGTAAATTATATTCAAACTACGCTCGGGTGCGTGACGGAGGACCGGTGTACTGTACAATTTGATTAACTGTTTTAAATTAAACGCAAGATATAAACTTTTACTTAAATAAAATCCATTGTTAATAATATATTATGGTGGAATTTTGCTTTTTCCCTCGGGTTGGCCGGATTATAGTATATCGAAAGTTCTACTTCCAATCTGTGGGATAGAGAAAGAACTACCTGTATTTACAAAATTATCCCTCGGTTTAAGGTTACTATTTAACTTTATGTGTCTTTATAAGATAAGAATGTAACATTACATATAAACCAAAGCTTCCAGTGGTATATTAATATCCAGACTAATGATTTTTAACCCCGGTGGAGCTCATCCCCGCGGGTGCCAAACGTCCTACTGGGGATGTTTGAAAAAATTTAGACTACGTTTTAATAATAAACAGTAAAATAGAATTTACCACCAAACAATTCTCATGTAATTTCAATATCTATTTGAATTTTGCTCTAGTACGATTCCGTAGGGTTGGATTGTTTTGCAAAGTTTTCTTAATGGCTTAAACTAAGTTTAAGATCCCACGCGCGTTAGAAAGCGGGACGAGCCTACTCGGTTACATAAAAAGAAATTTAACATATTTTTCGTGAAGGTGCCAGGCGCGTGTTAAAAATTCCGAGACCGAGGGTTGGGGAAAAGGTTAAACGTCGCCGCTCTAGACGAATTCCTCGGGGTAATATTAGCTACCGAATGCCTGGCCTATAAAGTTTCCTTTCGTACAAAACAAATATATATAGCGTTTTTACTAAAACTGTGTAAAATTTATACATAGATGTAAAACGGTTTGGTGACGAATTACGTAGCCGGATTGCCTAGAAGTCTCTTAGTATGGAAAACTAGCAGAGAATTGGCGTGATATTCCATTCGGTTTCGGTTTCTGCTTTCTTTGTTATACGCTGTATTTTCCCAACTGTTCCGAAGAATGTATACATCGACTTTTTATTCTTTAATTTTTTATCGGTAGCAAAACTTGGTAAATATAGGCTGACCTTTAGTCTACACTTAAATGTAAGCGAGTATTTCTGTACCGTATATGATGCTACGGCTATTTTAAGATAATTGATTTTTATATCGTGTAAAATCTTTCTAAAAAGTTATAAAATAGTTTCTTATAAAGATTTTACTATATATAAACTACCAGAAGGTACGAACAGGTAAAGGTATAAGACTTATAAAGATCTTACGTGACAAATACCGATAGAAATGGCCCGGGATATAGAAATAATCAGAACCTAAATCGTCGTCTTATACTCTACAAACTATAGTTAAGGTAGGCCTGTGTTCGTGTCTGTTGTCTTCTAGAGAACTCTCCTCTTATTCTATACCCGCATACGTATATTGGTACAAAATCACCACCACCGTCTGGTTACATTCTAGCGAAACTAATTATTAGTTCTATAGTGTAGAAATCCAAAATTATGGAAATTTAATCAATCCCAGCAAATACGCTACATTATTTATGGCTTTGCTAAGTAATTCGTTTCTTATTACCTGCCTAGTCTGAATTTTGTATAAGACGGGTGGGCCCGATTACGGACGCGATACCATACGCGCTTACGAATCACCGTAAAAAATTGGGAAATTTCGGATTGGATTGGATTTTTTTATTCGGTTTTGATTTATAAAGAAAAATTAAGAGTCTATGCCTTGACCTAAGGGTGGAGAAAACATTTCCATTCTGTTCGTAGGCCCGTGGGCACCGTTGCAACTTTGATACCGAGCAACTGTGTCTTATATTTTGGTGCGGTAAAAACGAAAAAAGTGGCAAACTCCGCGATTTGATTTGGAAGGAAGAGAAAAGCTTCACCGGTCAAGAACGGAAAAGATTTCGTTTGGTAAATGACGAAAGACGAGCGATTTTTCTGATAGGAACGGAAGGAAATTGCTTAAATTCGTCGGGCAGGTCCGGTGACGGAAACGGCGTCGTCGTTTCCGCGGCACTAAAATCTTCGGGAGGGGAAAGGAGAAAGTGGGTTCGGTGGTGCGAGAATATTAATTTATCGACGATGGCTTTGTGTGTTTAAAATTCCTAAATATTCGGCGTCCATTAATCACCCGTCCGTTAAACACTGTTATTAACCGCGCAGTCTCGGGTCGACCCAACGAATACCGTATTAAGCCTTTCTTTCGCGGCCGAGTCGGCATTGTCGTTGCCGGCCGATTTTCCGTCGGGGACGAGAGGTCGGAGGTCAAACTCTGCCGTTTCGGAACGATAAGAACGGCGGTCACCTCCACCGGCCAGATAAGCCGTTCCGGGTGGAATACTCTGGCTTCTCCGATTCGTTGTCGGTGGCGGTTACCCTCCCACTTTCCTCCTCCCGTCCCGTCCTCTATCTCGGATATTGACGATTTCTTATTTAACCGGGAAAGAGGTAACCGTAATGGAAGTGGGGGAGACGTCGAAACCTCCGCCCGGTAGGGAGGAGAGACTGTTCCTCGCGCCCGAGTAATAAATTTGGCCGGCACCAGGAGAATGGATACGGCCGCGCATCCCGTTCCGTTAACCGATATTCCGGTTGCCGGTGACGTCGTCTTCCAATTACCCGCCGAAGCCACCGTTAAATGGCCACCCCCCTCCGTCCGCACGGGGCCCGGTGGCCTACGACAATTAGGCCGTTTACCCGCCCTCTGGCGGACGGCTTCCGTCCGATCCCATTACCGTCGCTCTGCTTTGCCCCGCGTGCCGGCAAAAGGGTTTCTCCACCCACCGCTGCCCGAAAGCCAAGCGTCTCGGAAATCTTTCCGTCTTTTCCTAAAATACCAAAAAATACGAGAATTGGTGGGTGGGGCGGGAAGGGCGGGCCAAAATTAATACATAAAAAGCCCGAAACCGCCAGGGGCCGAGGACATTTATTTTCCATTAACTTTTCCCACCCATCCCTTTACATTTGTCGTAGAAATGAAATCGTTTCATTGCGCTTTTGGTATTGTTTGCCTTGACGGGATTTTTGCGCAGATCGTCGGCCGAATGGGCCAGGAGGGGATTTTACCGTATCGACGATGGGATTTGTAAAATATGTGGCCGGAGTTTTAAAGAGGAGCCGGTTATTAAGCCACCAGGATGTAGACCGGCGGTTGCCGTCGGAGACACCGATTACGGCCCCGGGCCAATTTCCCGGCAAATTGCTTTAGCGCGTTCTGTAAGCGGATAGGTGTTATTACGGTAGACGCGCTTAATCGAGCGCGCCCCGATCCCCGGCTTCGTCTTTCCCCATAAATAAATACGCCAAATTCTCCCTTCTCCCGTACCATCTATTCCCGGGTCCGAACTGCGAACGGACTCCGTTTACCTTCCACTAATCGGAACCAAGGACGGCGACCGGACGATTAAATCCAATTACGGCCCGGAACTGGGATGACGTCACCGGTCGGAGGCAGACGACCGGAAGGCGTGTGCCGCTACTTTGTCTACGTCACCGGCTGCCACGTGACGCGGCGTCGACGACCCGGCGGCCCGACCCCGGGGATAGCAGTTAACCTACGACCCGGCAAAATGAGATTTTCTTTCTCTTAAGCCACCACCGATTCGTCGGACGGCGCGAACGCTTATTATAGAAGAAGAAGAAGAAAAGAGACTTAAACCCACGGACGGCTTCTCCTGCAAAATTAATAAAGCCCGCCTCTCGTTCCCCGCCGCGGGAAGAATTACGGACGGAACCGCGTTTTTTTCCGTTAAATAAACGCGCCGGCATTTAATAAAACTTTAATCTAGTTCTGTTTTTATCCGCAGGGAGTCGTCTATGTTCCTTTTCGCCTTGCATCGAACAAGTTCAGAAAACGTGTCGGCGACTGGACCGTCTCGGTTTCTCCGACGTCACCACCGCCGAATGCCTGCTCAGACCTTACGAGGTGAAAAGAGTGTCCATGCCCGTCTTCCAGCCTTCGCAGGTAAGGAGGCGCGCCTTCCACCCGGGCCCTAACGGAGATTCTCACCGGAGGACCCTTCTTCCTCCACCCACACCAGCAAACCACCGTCGTTAGCCCCGACCAAACTTATAATTTGCATCCTTTTACTTCGCCTCCGTTTTGCACCCGGGACCGAAACGTCCCGGAAGCCCCGTTTACCGGTAACGATAATGTCATTTCCGACCGACCGGGTATCTGCCACAACAGACCGGTGTCCACCCACGCTGGAGTAGAAGGGCATGAGAACGCCTCCCACCGTCGGGACAGACGGCTCTTTCTATTCCAACGGGCAGATTTCACCTTTCCCGATTAATACGTTTGGGAGGATGGCACCCGAATTAACGCTTTCTTCGTTAGGATGCGCGCGTTAGAAAAAATATTATTAAGCGGTAAAAAAAAGGAGAAAATAAACGATTTGTGAGTAGAGAAGATGAATAATTCGCGGCCGACTCTTCATTGTTACCCCGTGGACGTAGCCATGCTAATGTTTTGCTGGGTTTTACTTTCAGGACGTGATCGAAGACGTGGCCGGGGGAAGCGAACAATCGAGCGGAGAGGAGGCGACCGCCAAGAAGTCAAAGCACTGCTTGCCCCGGAGCCGGGGAGGTGATGGGACAACTACGGCAAATTTCTGGTCTGCCCTCCCTACCTCGCAGATTACGGGTCACACTGGTTATCTGACCTTTGCAACCCTGTATCCGGGTAGCTGAGGTAGAACGCCTTGAGAACAAGGCTACCTTTCCCCCCGGTGGGAAATTTCTGCTCCTCGCAACCTCAGATCGGATGTAAACGATAAAGTTCTTCTAATAAACATTTACATCTGGTTGTTGACGCCTCTTCCGTCCGTCGACCGGTCCGCCCGTTTCTTTCTTTTTTTTTCCAGGCGCCGGTAGACGGGGTTCGGATTCTTTTAGGTAATCGAGTAAATTGCCGACGGAGGAGACGGCCGCCGGGCTTTTTTCGGGCCCGCGCCGTTTTTTTGGCAAGAGTCGGCTTTCTCCGCCCTACTTTCCGACGGAAGGAGAAGCCGACTTAAAGGAAGAGTCCGATCGCCGCCGAAAAATATTGGAAAGAGACGATTTACAGCAGATTTCGGTAGCGCCGTTTAAAACGACGAGTTCGGAGGGTGTTCGTCCGTCACGAATGACCGGAAAGGGGGGGGAGATTTTGCTCTCACGTACGGGAGTCACGCCGTGGCCATTCGATGTTTTTATCGAACATTCATCGCTAATTGAAAGACGGTGTAGCTCGCATTCGGACGGAGAGCTTTTTTATCGTCCAGCCCAACCGGTCCCCTTTCGAATTGGTCACGGATCGTCCGGAAATTCGTCCGAAGACCCTTCTCTTCCGTTGGCTTTCGTCTTGTTTTTATATTTGAAAAGTGAACGGATGTCGACCAAACGAACCCCATCGTTTTCCTCGAACACTTTCCGAATTCTTTACGCGAAACGACACAGAAATCGGTCGAATCGATATTTTCGGGAATCAAATTTATGTTAGAGAAAATGCAAAATAGAAATTTCTGCAACCGTTGGTGGAATCTGGAGATGTAAAGAATTTCGTCTAAATATAGCCTACCTTCGGTTGGATTTAAGTCTATGCGGATACAATGTACCTTTGTCTAGCCCTTTGGAAAGCCCATTTTTTTTGTAACCGGATAGGATTTTCCTTAGACGAATGGAAAAAGACACGGCATTATCCCGAGTTCGGGGTGTACGCGCCCGAAAGAAAGAGACGAAGGTTGTGGCCCAACGTTGGGTGATTTACGAAGAGTCAAACCAGTAAATCGATATAAAGTTTCGAAATATTTAGGTTAAGGATTTCGAAACTGCCCGACGGCACCCTGCGGTTATTTTTTAAAACTATTATTGAACGTGTTGTGCGGCTCGACGGGTGTTCATTGTCAGCTTACTTCCGCCGACGTCTTGTCAAAATGCGACCTGATTTACGGTCCCGGTTGGAGAGAGAAGAATCGCGACCTAATCCGAAAATGACGAAGGGTGTAAAATTGATTCTAAATAGAACGAAATCACAAGGATGTTTTAATTAGGCTAAGAGCGAAAACCATTGAAACCAAAGATACGGTTAATTAATTATCGTAATTTAATACAATAAACTTATCATTTGATATAACCTTCGACGATACGGCCAAATATGTGCGGTAGAGAATAACGATCTGTATATATTTATAATTGTTTAGTCATTTCTATTTACTCGTACGTAAAAGTTTTTGAATTCAAACATAAGATAAATAACACAAATAGTAGGAATTGTCCTTTTAAACAAATATCCTTTTACTATATTGAGAATTACTTAATATATTATGATTCTTTAACCTAATAGTGAACATTTTGTATTAAGAGGCCGTAAATAGAAACGATTAAAATGCGTTGTTTTGATGTATCGGGTCTTTGTAAAATATCTTAAATTCTTTTTCTGCCGTTTTCGTAAACATAATAATAAATAGGCACGTATATCTGTAAAACAGTACGTTACAAAAGACATCTTCGAGTGTAATTACTTGTTAATCTCTTCGATGATTGAAACGATGTAGGCCTAAATCTTTCCTTGATCGTAATCGTTTAAACTCCGTGAAGATTTAAATAGCTTGATTCCAGCATCCGGTTCGTAAATGATCGGGAGAGTTCCTTAAGAATTAGATGTAGTGTGGTATTACCCGTGTTTCGGCTGTAATACAAGTATACAACTTATGTCGTATATTTATGTAAATATAATGTATTAGAACTATCGACTAGCATTGTGATTTCTTGGAGCATTCTCGTTTTTTCGGCAGAATTTTGTTTATACAGATAAACGATATCCAGATCGTTGTTTATGTCCGAATAGTATGCGTAATTGTGTAGAAGAAGAATTTCGAAGGACGTTTAGTACGCTTATTTAACCGGAGGTGACAGTTTAGCAAATCCTCCCGGTCGATGTATACGACTATTTGGAGGTCGAGTTCTATTGTTTGTTGATGCAACATTCTTATTATGTTTACACCGAAACCTTGAAGTCATTTTCTAATACCGGACTTACATTCGTTAAAGTCAAGTAATAATACATTGTAGAGTTCTCTTGTTCGAAATCGAATTTAGTGTCGATTAGAACAAAACCATAATTAAAAAAAATGCGTACGTATTGTTAATGACACTTTAATACGAACGAGTGATAAATCTAAAAATTAAAATATTACAGTAAAATTTGCCTTTATTCTATGATAAAAACTGTCGTATCATTAGAAGTTCGTAGAATGCGGAATGAGTCGCATCTCGAAGCGTAAAAACAAACTTTCACTACTGTCTCACTCATCGCTTCCCAGAACAATGCTAAATGCGTGACAGAGGACAATAGAACGACCCAAATGGACCATTTTAGACGCACCTCGATTTACAGGAAAATCCGCTTGGCTCGACTCGGAAAAAGTCATCAACGATGTCTTGGCGTCTTAGGACCTGTGCGTTGACGTCAGCGACTCCTAATGTCTTATGGAATCGGTGGGGCCAAGGTGGTGACCCACGCCTCGACCCTACGCCCACCTTCGAGGTCGCCAGATCTGGCTTGATCGCCGATCGGTTGTTAAGCTTACATAAAGAGTTTAACCTCCTTACCAACAAAAATAATTCGGAAATGAATCTTTACATTCGCTCTATTTCCGTCGCGCTTGACGGAAACTGCCGACTATTTTTACGACAATTGAATACATTAAATTCGAAAAAAAATAAATTTATTATAGTTATAAGAATTACGAATGAGATTTGGATTCGGATCACGCTTTCGACGTATGAAATTTGTCAAAATGGAGCCCTAAAGTCAACTGTAACCCTTTCGTAACCGGTTAGAAAAGCGTGATCCTACGTGTCGCAGATATTTATAATCGTCCAGTCTACTAGATGATGATGTTTTCCTACAAACAACTATTAATAGTAAACCACGACTCTGAATTTCTATTTGCAGAATTTTTTTTAAAAAACTAAAGCAGGATTTTGACTTTTTCTTCATCCATCTCCAGACTTTTTCATCAATGCCACAATTTAAAATATGTACGAGGATCGAAACTGCAATTACTGCGTACCCAAACTACCGAAAAGTAAATGTAAATACATTTGGTTTAAATCCGATCTGCATAATTTTGAATTATCGATACATCTTCGATCATCTACACAATTAATTTCCAAAAGAGTTTCAAGCTAGAATTTTTAGGCATTTCTTTATACCCATTAGGTATAAAGAAAGATCTCCTATACGCAACTGATTGAAAAATCAAATACCGTGTAGAAACGATAATGAAATTAATCTGTTATTTACGGGTATGAACTGCTTTAGTCACATTTATAATCAGAAAAGTTCGGATCAACCTTGAAAACGGGAAATACCTATAAGAAGGCCTTGGAAGCCGGAAACTCTGCATCTATTAAATCTTGTTTTGAATAGTAAACATCCCGAACGATATCAAATCCTTTATTCGTCTGAAAGGGATTTTAACACGTAAATTTGCCGGCGAAATCTACAGATTGCGAGAGTATAAGAGCTCGTTGATAAACATTAAAGTTTATCGTTATGGCTTAATATATACTACAATATAATTACTGATGTAATGTAAAAAAATGTTTATTTTGATTAGCTCGGATACGTGGCTAAGATAAAGTTTGTCTGATATTAAAGTACACGGGGATATATAAAAGCAATAAATGTTAATCAACTTTTGAAGTTCTAAATTAGAATAATTGTTTTTCCAAGTTAATTTTTAAATATATTTTTTTGTTTACGGGCTGGATTGTGTTTTAAGTCGCGAATTCCAGCATATTAATGATCACAAAGCCATTTATCAATTTCGCCAGAGATAAAATCATTAATATGCTAGAGCATCATCCGATTCTCGGTGGAGTGGGCAATATTAATGGAGGATAGGGAATAATGTACTGTACTGTTCGAAATGGCCAAAACAAATCATCATTTCGTGGAAGTAGAATTTCATCTTACTTGGTTATCCGGCTGAATTTTTTGTTAATATATAAGAAAGGAATTCACTTACCGCTGCCAGGCCACGTTCGAATCCAATCTCTATACTCGTGGGTAATTCGAGTCGGGATGTCGTTATTCATTCTTCATTCTTCTGTGGCATCGTGTCTCGGATCCATCTGTAATGGAAAAAAGTGAGAGAGAACTGATACCACTCATTCATGGTGAACTATTAAAAAAAAGTTCATTTATTGTCAATTAGAAGATTATGTTTGATTAGTGCGGAATAAACTAGTTGAAGTATGAAGTATCTTACTAAGCAACAAATTTTTTCGGTCTAATCTAGTCCATCTTTAGGTTCCCTGCTATTCTATGGTCTCGACTAGAAAATGATCGTTACTAATAAATGTATATGCTGATGTATCTCTATATACTGGCTATATAAAAAATACGAATTATATTTCGTCCAAATAGAAAATTATGATCAGTATTGCAGTTTTTGTATATTTAATTTCAAGAATCTAACAGTAATTTTTGAACAAATTGTTTAAAGGAAGCATAGGCTAACGAATGGTAATCAATTATTTTCCGAGAGTAACAAATAATAAGAAATGAATTGTTCCAGATAATATGGAAATGAATGTCCCGAAAGCCAATCTGTATAGATACGAAGGACTCGCCTTGACTTCCGCTAATTTATCACCCGAACACGAAATGCGAACGTATAGAATTTCTTTATCGAAAACTGATTATTTCCAGACAGGTAATTACACATTCCATTCGGTGTACCCATTAACATAATGGTTATTAATAAAATACAATTAATACATTTTTAACCTTGTCCTAATAAAACAATGGAGCACCGAAGCATCCCGAGCCAGCTCGAAATCTTACTCCACCCTTCGATAGGTCCTAGCATTGGTCGATCGATGCGAGATGGAATTTGGAATCCGGTTCCTTGTCTAAATTTAGATAGTAGTCCTTTCTCTCCCATAACTGGGTCAGTTGTCCTTTTAATTAAAAGATGCTTATTACGTTGTGAAAAATTTGGAATTATTCATTAGCAACGATCGAAATAAAGATAGAAGTCTTTTAATAAAGCTGCGTGGGTCGTGATAAGTACACTCGCTCGTTTCTATTCAATAGCCAGTACTAAGGGTGTAATGACGTAATCAGTCATTTCGAAAATATGTTCGTGTCATAGTTTCTTAGTATGCCCTTTATTGTGGTCGACGGCTATTTGTGGGTTGTAGATCCGGGTTTTGTTACTTATTTACGTTTTCCCTCCTTTTTAAAAACAAATACAACCGTATACAGTCTTAAATTGTAAGTTCACACGAGAGAGTAATCATATAATGAATTCGAAAACATTCAAATTTCGAACTCACTCAGTAAAAATAGCCAAATTTTTAAATAGAAAAGATATAACTCTTAACCGATTTTACTTTAAACCTCTGAAAATATCGTAATTAATTTATGTTCGCATTAATAATCATAACAACCTGTCAAAATAAAAATATACATTGTAATTCTCCACATTACGTGTCCAAAAAGTATGCTATAAAGTTTATAAAATTTTGTGTCATATTTGTAGAAAATTAGAAAAAATACGTTAACTTTCGAGTGTTTTTTTTTTTGCTCCATTCCTAAATAAAAATATTTAACACTTCTCCAGATATAGAACTGTATAATTTTATATAAAATATATATATACAAAAAAACAGTATATTTTTTACTTTAGGGAAAAGTTGCCGGTGCATTAGAAATTTTACACAGAATATAGCAGATCCGCTTTTATTATTTTTAGGTAAATACTTGTAGGGATTAATTAAACTCTAAAATATAGTTTTACAAATATCAGCTTTTACTGCGAATTTATAAACGGTTACGTTCTATTACAGAATTTATTAAATTATATCTTAAGAAGATATAATTTAATCTCTTTCTCTCCTTTTTAATCTCTTCTTTGTTCGGATTTTATACATATATACATGCAGGAATTACCATAAAAATAAAGTTCATTAATTGTAGAATTTCAAATAAAACATTATAAACTACCACATATAACAATGAGAATAATAGCGAAATACGAGACAAAACGTATTTAAAAAAAAACATGACAGAATCTTCACGTTTAGTTCTGTCAAATGGAAACTTTTCCTTAAAAGAGAAATTAAATTCCCTTTCTCCGGATTTTTTCCCTGCAGCGAAAAATTCCGTAGAAATTTTTTTTTCTGGAAACAAATATGGACGAGCAAAGCTTAATTAATCTCGTTGAATTTTTAAAATAATTATCCGATATATTTTTATAATTCTTTCCACGTCTGATATTATAAATTTTTCGGCCAATTCCATGCCGTTTTCGCCGTGGATAATTGATTCTGGGATATTAGGAATGGCGAAAACACTACGAGACGTAAGCGCTGGGCTAGAAACAAAGAGAAATAAGTTACTATGTGTAAAATCCTTTACTCTTTTGTTGATAAATACTTGGTTAGGCAATATATAATAATAAATTATATTTGTCAGTGGATTATCTTTGCCTCCGATCGATTCGTTATGGCTTTCGTGCATAATTTTAATAGAGGACCCATGATTGAATATGCGACGGGCGTGCTGCGACTAAAATTAATGTATTAGCTTTTACGAATGGAAATCTAAACGACGAAGATGATTAAGTAAATGTTTAACTTAATTAGGTAATATTTAAAGTGTTATTGGACGAACCAGATGGCGCCACTAGTTTATTCTTTAATTTTAAATAGGGAGGACGGTAAGTGCCTTCAGCGCGGTTCGTCCGTGTGGCAATTACCATTTGCATTAGAGGATGCGTAAAAACAAAAATGTTAGCAAATTGGATGCGAAAGGCTGGACTCGACTCACGAAATTCGAGTGATGTAACGCATGTTAAATTTTGGATTATTCCGGCATATTTTCTGTTCGAAACCCGCTAGCGAGATCCTTATTTAAGATATTTACGGCCGAGTCGTAATAAATTATAATGCTTATCGAGTGATGGAAGCTATTATTACTATTCGAAATGACACGGGTTACGGAAAGGTTGGCACTCTGGCATTTGCGAACTTACGAAATGACCGGTGTTTTGATTAATGGAGACATGCTTGAATATAGTGTTCTGTGAGCTTTAAATAGTATGCCATTTTGTTTGTTTTTATATTCTTTAAAACTGTAACACAATTGCAGTGTCTTGACAAATGCTTCTCTTACGTTTGTTTGTACGTAGACAGCAAAATGATAAAGCTACGTTAAGGGAAAGTACTAAAGAGAATGTACCTTTTGTGTTGGATATTTATAGATAATGTAGTATAAAATACAATGTAAAACATAGGTGTACGCGTACCGTTTCTTATTTATACATAATTACTATTAAAAAAAAATGGCATTTTGTAGGAATCTGAATGATTGATTTGCAAAATATCCTGGTTTTTAATGCGGTTTAATTGCCTTAAACGTATTAATTATAATGGAAAGATTTCTAATCGGGTAAACTTATTCGAAATGGAATTACGCTATTTGTATTTAGATCGAAACAGTTTTTCCTAACTTTCTCTACAAACCTTGGCCTTAATATGATACCACGTGACAAAAATCCGGGCTATTTTCCTAGCTGTCGATTGTACATTAGATAGAGAGAGACTGGGGATCGTATTTGGGGGTGAAAAACAGAAAGGATACGCAGATATAATAAATGATCGTCCTAGAAAGCTGACCAGGATGCTGCATTCCTTATTCCCGGACTTGATAAACGTCGACCAAACACGCAACATTCGATTGTTTAAGTTAGCATTCTGTTAAGTTATACCGAGATAATCAGCTTATCTCGTGCACTATTGGGTTTCTGCGTAGTGAAGATGGATGATAGAAGTAGATTATCGCTCATTCGTAAAAGATCCGACATCGATTCGTCGGAAGATAATTGAAAACCAATGTTATAGAAAAATTATTAAGGAATTCTATTGTTTAAGAACCAATTTTCTCCCTTTTCATCTACGCTATCTCTATCTAATTATCGGCTTTATTGGTCTTAAGTCTCAGGTAAATGGATTATATATTTTAAGAGATAGAATTAATATTCTAAAGAATGATTTATGTACTGTACTTAGAAACTATTGTCGGGATACTTTCATATAAATATAATCCATTGTAAATATTCTGTTAGAATCATATTTTGAAAGTTTACTCGAACGAAAATCATACAATTTTATATTCCTTATAGATAATTTAGGGAAAAATTATTCGAGATTACCAAAAATATTTTGGTTTATAATTTGGAATTACTCCAACATTTTTTTTTTTTAAACAAGGAAGCCGTGTGTCCCGGAAAATGATTTTTAAAAAGAAATAAAAAACAATTTATTTAATAATAGGTTAAGTCCGCGATTAAATCATAAAGTGAAATGCATTTGGAAAGCGTCCAAATTTAATTTGTTCTTAAAATTTTCATAAGAAAGTTATTAGGAAAGTAATCTTGTGCATACGTTTTATAACGTTTCCTCCTGAAGGAACTCGTAATATTATCAAAGATATGATTGTTAAATTGATAAAAAGATTGCCTTTTCAACAAATCTTTGAGTTTATGCTGGCAAAAATCTTAAGAATTAAGGATTATGAAACTAAATTTAAAAGTGGAAACACCAATTTTCGAATCGATCACTCCCCCCGTCTTTATCGTCAACAGCCAAAGTTGATAATCTGTCAGAGATGTCTTTATAGGAAGTGACGGATAATTGGAGCAGTTATATCAACATCCGCAATTCAATAAATTAATGTCAAAGGTTATTGATAGACTAGGATGTAATATTTTGTTTCAGGGCTTATAAGGAAAGCGGATTTTTTTTTTATATTTTTGATGTAGTACGGGGGCGGGTCAAGAAATCTCAGACATCGCTTTGGGCTATAGGTTTACTTGTCGAGATAGATACACCTGTCCTACGGAACAACAACTTGCTCAAAAATGCCGCTGTTCCCTTATCCAGGACGATGAAAAATTATTTGATATTTAATATGTCAAAAATTCTTAAATTTTTCCAAATTCTTAATAATTAAAGAAAAGAAAAATCATCATTCATCACTCGATTAAATAAATATTTGCTATGCTATGTATTCCTGGAAGAAAATTTCAGTTTACCCGAAATACTAGACATTAATAAAACGATTG